GGCCCACCAGGCCCGTTAGGACCGCGGGCCCGGTCCGGTCCGGTTCAGGCCCGGCCCACCGAGCAGCATTATTGAGAACACATAATTTAATCAAAATAATAGGCAGAAAAAGAGCCTTCTAGTTTGATATTAGTGTCCGCTGTAAAAACTTCAGGTGATGGACTTAAATGTATTCTTATTTCATGACAGGAGGAACTGTAATTGCAACGCAATTGTTGACTATTACATTCTCTTTCTTGTTACTTGTAGGTCCCTATACAGCACCTGAGATTTATAAAGATGAAATATTTGATAGAAGTGTGGATGTATATGCTTTTGGAGTATTACTTTATGAGGTACCAATTCAATTTCAGATCATTTAACTTATGGTTGCATTTCTTTTTGCTGCATAATTATTTTAGCTAATCGGAACATCACTGTATGTAATAGAATTCAAACATTCTTCTTTTGCTTGTATTTCTTTTCTATTTTGTTTTCAGAAAACTCTAGTCAATTCTGCCGACCTAATACAAACTATTTTAGATTCCTTGTTTTTGGAACACTTTGTGACATGAATGATTTAGTTTACTCTGAGTTTTAGTTAAACTTTGTTGGGTATAGATGATGGAGGGAACACCACCTTTTCATCCCAAATCACCTGAAGAGGCTGCTAGATTGATGTGCAAAGAGGGTAAAAGACCATCATTCAAGTCAAAATCTAAGTATCCGCCGGACCTTAAAGAGTAAGCCCAGCTGTTAATTTTTCTTTTAAATACTCGGATGCATCTGGTCTTTTGCAGTTTGTATGGAGTTATAGAGTAGCAACATCATGTACTAATCAGTACTTCTAATCAGTGGCATAGGCCACACTATGCCAAGGGTGGTAACAACACCCTTCACCGAATAAAAATACTATGTATATAGGTCAAATATTACTTTATATGGCTATATATTATATTTTGAGCACCTTAATACATTTGAGCGAGGTAATCCAGCAGTCCAAGGTGTTTAAAGTGAGGTGTTGGTCACGGGCTTGAATCCCTGTCCAAACATTTTTATCTGCTCATTTTGTTTGCCAAAACAAAATGGAGACCACTATGTGTGGTCTATTTGACTCTTTTTCAATCTGAAAGAATTCCTAATAAATAACTCTTAAAACACAAAGTCTGTGTATTTATACAAACAACTACTCTTAAAAGTTGTTTCTTAAACAAATTTTATAATTTAGAAGTCAAGCTTTACAAAAAATTCTTCACAAAATTCCTTTACATACTACAGACCCTCTCGACTCTTCTATGCTTACTTTTTATTAGTAAAATTTCTTTTGTTGTCTTGTTTTATGTTAGGTTTGATTAATAAAATTATCGTTCTATTACAAGTGTTTTAATTGTTTAACTAAATGTTGTGTGGTTTGATTTAAAATTTTCGGTGCACCCATTCATAAAAATAAAATAAAAAGATTGTCGACTTTCTTAAAGTTTGAATACCCTTGGCGAGATTCTTGGCTACAGCACTGCTTCTAAAGCATATGACTTTTTGCAAAAGAATTCAGAAAAGGATTGTTCTTTGCTGTTTTGTTTTACGGAAGTAATGTGTAGGTTTTTTTCGGCTTCTGGGGTGGGTCCTATCTGATTGCTTAGTCCAGTATTATGTTACGTCCGCTTATCTTACTCCAATTTGACTACTTTTCCTACCAGAGCTTTTTGAAGTTCTTGGGCATTTCATTCTGGATGATGATTCATTTTCCTGTGTTCATCTATCTGATGATAAGATGCCCAGCTTTATATTGTGCATTGCCTTATTTTATATTTCCTTATATTTTATGAATCGTAAAGTGTATAACAACAAGATTTTGCACAATCTGGCCGTCTTCCCTCACCATCATCTGACACTAACAAGGCTCTTGTATCTCATTGTTTTTTTTAATCTTATTACTTTAGCATAAGTTCAGTGGTGATTTTTGTGTTTCTCTTACTCACTTTACTGGATATCTAGGTTGATTGAAGAATGTTGGCATCTAGATTCTTTTGTTCGGCCGACATTTTCAGAGATAATTGTGCGCATGGATAAAATTGTTGCAAACTGCTCGAAACATGGATGGTTGAAAGATACTTTAAAGCTTCCCTGGTAATGCTTCCAATACACAACTTTGCATATTCTGCATCTTTATCTTTTCAGTTGTTTACTTTATGTAAAGGTCCTCTGACCTAGAAGAAAAGATTCAGCACCATAGATAACTTCTGCTAGAATTGAAATTGCTTTCTTTTATGGTGTTACTGTTGCGGAAGCCAAATGTATATAGTGTGAATAAGTCACAACTATTATACCAAAAATTAT